GAGTCAAAAAGCAACGAGGAGTGACCGCCAAACACCAGCGAGCCACTCACTGCCACTCCCTCCCTCAACACCACCTCACTCGCCCTCATTCTCCTCCCACAGTACTGTTTTTGCATTTATTCACTGTACACAGACGTTATATATATGTATCTACCTGTTTTATTCACCATACCTGTACAAATAAGCTGGTATGGTGCCCAAAGACCATAGTGGCCATCAGTAAACAACATGCCAAGTCGTGCAGACGATGCTCCTCCTTCACCAAAATGGCGGCTCCCAACCTACTCCTCACGCTGTGATCTCACACTATACACACGTTATATATAAGTATCTACATTTGTGTTCACCATAGCGAACTACTAAGCTGGTATGGTGAGTGCAATCAATAAATGGTGGCTACACACAGTCAGAAGACGACGCCACAACCCTCCCTCCATGGAGCACAGCGCTAAATATCACCACAATCCTGCTATTATCAGAATCCTGGTCAGTTTTATCACAGTCAGTGGGCTTCACTAATACTATCACTGCTAAATAATAGCAGTATCAAATATATTTTGGCATTTGTAGGCGATGCTGTGGTCACAAGCTGAACAGCGGTGCTGTGAGCTTGTGCTGCGTGTGCCAGCCTTGGTGGCTTCCTCAATACTGACGCTCTAACACCCAAGAATGTTGGCCTGGATTTTTTTCTAGGTGGCATCTGGCAACTATCGGTCGTGGCTGTACTATAGCTGCCCCTATCCCAGGCGGGGCGTTTAAATTATAGCGCTAGACACGAAATCATATATAAATGATGTGCGCGGTTTCGGTTTTGTCACTGATATCATTTATATATGATATGCGCAGTTTGAGGGCTAATAATTGCATTGTTGGTACTCTGTTTTTGGGAGTGGAAGCCAAACTGACAAAGACTTAACACTTTCGCGGGATCAGGACTCACTGAGGAGTCCTGTTTCGCCAACCGCTCCCGCATGGTGGACATAAAGTTATGTCCTCTTTTAAAATATTTGTATAAAATTCAATTTTTATCCGATTTACTTTGGGTTTGTTTCAAACTGCGCGCCATGAGGCTCTCTTTCTCACCACTAGGCTGCATGGTACAATAAGTTCATGAAAGGTATGAAACACTTCGATCAAATGGTATTATGTCCCAAACGGGTTGCAGGTGGGTGACTTTAGCCGTTTATACTGGTAATGCTTCCACCATATCATGTATTATATGCATATGTCTGATTAGGGAATTTTATTCCGATCAATGTACAACCAAAAATAACTGTGTGCAACAAGTATAAACTTGACAAACATAACAAAAGTAAAAACATTTCGTGTGTGTTTGACGCTCACTGATATGTTCCAGCGTTGTTTTATATTTGGCGCTATTCTATCTTACGCTTTGTTGATCTTTTTTACCTACGGGCTCATAGAACATTCTATTGCAAACACATTGACACAAAAATGAATGACGTACATAGAAAATTAATGTCATGAGAGTGAAATAAGTATAAACTTTCAAAGCGCCATGCGTCGTCCCGTCACCGATACCGGGTAACAATTTCACCACTTCCCACACTCTTGCGGGCGGGCCGCAATCATTATTCTACGCTTATATTCATATCACCGTGTTGGGAATTTCATTGCGAGTCCATTGATACCAAAATTAACGCTGTAGGACAAGTGTGGAGGTGATAACAATCCCAAGAGTAAAAACTTTTTGTTGCTGTTGGGCGCTCACGGCGAGTCATCTTTGTAGTTATTTATTTGGTGCTGGTATCCCTATACGTTTCGTGGCTTTTTTTTACTGATGTTCTTCTAGAGAATTTTATTGCGAACACGTTGGTACCAAAATTAAATACGTAGCTCAAGAACTAAGGTAAGGAGAGTAAAAAGAGTATACACATTTTTGTTTTTACGCTTACGCAGCAAAACCGCACCGCGCACATACTGCTTTTTTTTTAACCATCCCAGGGAGCGCGAAAGTGTTAAGATCATATTAGTTGTCAAATGCTTGGGGTACTTTCCTATAGGCAAAGAACATTGTGGTGATATAATATAACTCTTAGGACACCTAAAGATTGCCAGTAGGCATGTTTAGAAACTTGTAACTGATGATTATATAAGAAATGTACATAAACTTAAGGATATAAGTAGTTTAATGCAAAATTTCCTTTGCAAATAAATTACTGAATGGGTCAACAATTCTGGCAGGATTGGAAAATTTGTAGTGGTCTGTTGATTAGTCATGTAAAATTGAAACTATTAGTTGATTGTGTATTGAATAGTGGAAATTGAAGAGTAATATTAGATATTCCTTTAAATGGTGTACACCCTCTATAATATGTTTTGTGATCTAATCCTAGACCTTAGGACACCTAATGATTGCCAAGGGGCAATATACAGTACAACCTCGATTCAACGTACCCCGATTCAACGAATCTCCAGCTAGTTCGCACACTTTTCAGGCCGGATTTACTCGCCCAGTTCGACGAACAATGGTTCGCCGAAGCGGGGGATGTTCGGATTTGCTTACGACATCGAGACAAGAGTTCACAAACTGGTGGAAAACTTTCCCATTCTATCACAGATTACAATTATTAATTCCTTCATATGACAAGTTGGATCACACAAGTGGACCACACAAGGTGACCACAAACGGTCCACAAGCTTATGATGATGGGACAGAGTTCACAGAGTGGTGGAAAATGTCTCATTCTATCACAGATTACTATTAATAATTCCTTCATAAGACAAGTTGGATCACACAAGTGGACCACACAACAAGTGAATCATATGAACCAAACACCAGCCAAAATGTTCCATACAAGAAGTGACGCATATTAACCAAACACCAGCCAGAGTGGTCCACACAAGTGAACGACTGAGTTTCAATGATTTTCGTTCACCGATTTGTGGCACACGTATCTTTGTAAATTAATTTAAAGGCTGAATCGTGAATAGCTAGCTAATGTTGTGAAATCTTCTTATATACATTTTCTGTGATGAAACAAGACAAGTGAGGGTGGACAGATAAGGGAATACTGTACAGTAAACGTCACTTTACAGTGAGGTTTCACTCACTATAGTCTGTGTTGTCATAGTTCAGTGACCCATGACTTTAAACGTTTCAGATTAATAAATCATTTCTAAAACTAATGTTTTTATAACTCTTTATCATCCTAATTAAACTAAACTAAATTAAACCAAAAATATACTGTAATATGATTGATATCTGGTATTTAAGAAATTATTCACGTTATTGGCAGCACAACTCCAGCACGAGTGGACGGGTCTAATCCCTGTCCACAACACCATGCTTGTTTTGTTCGATTTCGTCGCAACAGTTCAGTGATCTCCAGCTTCGAAATAATAAAATTAATAAATCGGTTCCAAAGTAAGTATTTTTTATAGCTCTTATTACCGTAATAATGTTGCTAAACTAAACATGTAACCCAAAAATATATAATTTGATGTAAATCGAATATTTGAGAGAAATTTATATTACTGGAAATCAAACACAACACCAGGCGTGTTTTGTTCGATTTCGTCGCCACAGTTCAGTGACCTACGACTTCGAAATAATAAAATTAATAAATCACTTCCAAAATAAGTATTTTGTATAGCTCTTATTACCGTAATAATGTTGCTAAACTAAATATATAACCCCAAAATATATAATTTGATGTAAATTGAATATTTAAGAGAGATTTATGTTACTGGATCTGGCTTAAACACCAGCCGACTAAAGGGTGTACATATAGACTTAGTCTGCGTTTGTACAGTATGCACCCAGTGCCCTTAGCTTTATCTGCGATTGACGTACAGTATTTATCCGCCGGTGGAAGAATAATTGTGGAATTGACCATTTTTTTACTACAGCTCTTTGGTTATAAAACAAAATGTCTCAGGGGCTTACTAATAGTGCCTTATTAATGCCAAAAATGAAGCAATATTTTGCAAGAACTAGTAGCAGAAAATCAACCAGCATGAGCACAGCCGTACCCAGAGTGGTACCCAGCTGTACCCAGAGTGGTACGAAGCAACCAGCATGAGAACAGCCGTACCAAGCATGAGAACAGCCGTACCCAGCACGAGAACAGCCATACCCAGCATGAGAACAGCCGTACCCAGCAAGAGAACAGCCATATTAAGTACGAGAACAGCCATACCCAGCACGAGAACAGCCGTACCCAGCAAGAGAACAGCCGTACCAAGTACGAGAACAGCCATACCAAGCACGAGAACAGTCGAACCCAGCATGAGAACAGCCGTACCCAGCACGAGAACAGCCGTACCCAGCACGAGAACAGCCGTACCCAGCACAAGAACAGCCGTTCCCAGCACGAGAACAGCCGTACCCAGCACGAGCACAGTTGTACCCAGCACTGGTACAGCAGCCAGCACCAGCTCAGAAGCAGCTGAACCCACAGCAGCAGCGAGCACCAGCAAAGCTGATGCAAACATCTAAAAACATCGTGTGCGGCGTGAACAGTTAGAACAAGTGTTAAATTTAAGTGTGTACACAGTGTTAAAATTAAAGTTGCATGAATTTTAGTGTACAATAGTTTTTATAAACTGTATTGTAGTACTCAACATAAAGCAGAACTACTTTTAATCAACACAGTGCTAACGGCATAATGCACTACAGCACGTATTTACTGTAGAGCATTCACAATTTCACGAAACTTCAAGATGGACATAACTCCAACAGTAAGGTAAATTTATGAATTCCAGTATTTTTTAGTAGAGAAGTAATATATAGGTACAGTATTTAATATGATAATGCATTTTTATTGTGCACAGAAAAAAAAGACACTGACACAAACGCCTCCTGAAGGTCACCTCTTGCAACTAATCCAACGATCCAACGAACTGGGGTTGGTCCCATATAGTACATTGAATCGAGGTTGTACTGTAGTAAGAATTTTTATCTGATAAATGTCCTATATGAAAATGCCATTATTGCTAGGAGTATTTAATACTGTATACAGTATTTCCTCTTGCAGTGGGATTGCTGACCAGATCTTCAATCACAAGGTGTCGAGTGGGTAGGAAAGTCCCAGTCTAAAAAATGTCACATCCAAACAAGTACAGTAACTACAACTACGGATTGGATAGCATATGGAATAGGTGAGTGGATGTCCTGTTTATGCTGTAAGACTAGTTTGGTCATGCCATTTTAGGTGGTTTCTTAAGGTTGTATACTCTTTAATACGGGTTCCTAAACTGGTGGTATAGTATCCAAATAATTGCAGTTTGAGACTGTCCTTGAACCATTTTAAAATGTTTAAACTAGTAATTTTTAACTACCTTGATTGCAGCTACTTTTTATTTGCACTTTTTCTATAAATAAAAAGAACATATTTATCTTTCTGGAGGGAAGCCCCTCCAGCTCCCCGGAGCTATCCAGGCTGATATGGATATATTAGACTTTGGGATCAGTCAAGTGAATGAAGTTCTAGGCCTACCAGGGACCACGAGTCAGAACCTGGCCCCCCTCAGAGAGGCACGAGGAGCAATGGCCTATAGAATTGCACATGTGGTTTGGAGTCTGCCATTCTGTGTCTATGTCTGCCGTTGACTGGGTTAGGCACCCAGAAAGGTAAGCGCCCCAAAACAAACCCCTATTCTCGTTAAAACTACTACTGATATTCAAACGATTGGACAGAACTCTCCAAATGAAAACGAGCATGACGTCATCACGTGTCATGCCACTGTCTGCGCAGCTTCCCCCTCCCTGGGAAGGGGAGCAGACCCCTCACACGGGCTACCTAAATCTCAGTTCTTCGACTGGTGTGATTGGCAATGGTCTGGTGACTCTGGCTCCAGATTCTGTCTTCAAGCTCTGTTCCTTGTGGTGTGGTGCTGTCCTCTGGTGCGTGTGCCAGGAGTAATCTCACAAATACTTGGGCTGCATGTATCTAGGGTTATCTTCCCTAGGAACCCTGTACATACTGCCCTTGGGGCTTGGGGCCTCCTTCCACAAGTCACCTTGGGATCTAACTCTGCTAGGTCTTTTGCTGCTCGGTGATTGGCTGCCCTTAATGTGTGGGGGTGTTTTCTGCACCCTTGGTGCTATTGGAAAGGGGGGTAGTTTGCACTAGTTGGGGTGTGGGGTATTGCACAGCTAGTTATCACCTCTTTCCTAGTTATGTAAGCCAAGCTAGTTATCACGGCCGGCTCTGTTCCACCTGGGTACATTGTCCTCTTGCAGGGTTTTTCTTTTGTTTTTGTTTCCTGCCTGGTAGGGGGCTGCCCCTTGTGTTAGGTTATTACCATTGTCTTTTGGTGGGACCTCCACTAGGTCCCTGTGAGTGGACACATACCAGGGGCGCAGTTTTTAGTGGGTTTTCTTGGTGGATTTGGCTGTGGGTTTGCAGTATCCTGCCTGGGGCTTCCCTTAGCAGTACCAGTCTAAGGGTCCTGGGAATCCCCGCAGCGGTGCATGAGACCAGGCATGAGATGGATACAACCCTTGGGTCTCCTCTCACATGTGAGTTTGAGGGTTGCTCTATCCCCTTGTTTCGGGTGACTCGCCGTTTTTGCCTCCGTTATGCTGCCTGTTGGGTCAGTGACGCCTTTGACCCGTAGTCCTGCGAGTTTTGTAGCCTGTTAGTGACTTGGTTCACCCAGTCTACTGATGATTCTATTCGGGTGCAAGCAGCTAAGGCATTGCATGCTAGGTTTAGGTTGCTGCAATGCGCTAGGTTGATTGCTGTCCCAGAAACCCTGAGACCGCCTCGTTCTGGTTATAGGGACTCGGACTTGGGAGTGGTAGTCGCCTCAACTCTGGTTCCATCTGCCACCCTCTTCATTCTGATCCTTCCCCTCTGCTTCTGGCTCCAAAGTGTCTAAGGGTTTCGGGGGTTGCAGCAGGGTTTAGCTGGGTTTAGCTGGTTTTGAGACTCAAGCAGTCTCGGGATGCCCCTGCCGGGCTGGCGACGGAAGCATTAGAGTTGGTTCCTCCAGCCATGGCGTCTGGGTCTGACCAGTGGGACCCCCTCCTTACTGCCTTTCTGGCTTTTTCTTTGAGGCCGGGCTTTGGAGGACAACTCTGCCCCTAGGTCCTGAGTCCCGATGTGGAGGTTCTCGGGGCTGGGGAGGGGTTGATTTGGAGGCTGTGGGCCCCGCTTGGGTTTTTCTACCCTCGGAGCAGGGCTTGCTGATACAAGGAGTAGGGTTTTCTTTCCTCCCCTCCGTGTACGAGTTGGATTTGGTGTCGGCCTCTTCCCAGATTCAGTTCCATATCCCTTCGGGTCCATCGGTCCCGTCCATCCGGGGATTTTCGGCTTCCCGCATCCTTCCTCATGAGGTTCAGGAAGCCATTGCTGCTTACCTCCTGCACGACCCAGATTATGCCTCCATCAGGACTCGGTCTTCATTCAGGTTTGGGTCTTCGTCTTCCTACTGGGTTCATTATGAGATTCCGGAGTCATACTGGCTAGCGGACTGCTCTTTTTGTTGGAGGCTTGGCATACAGTACTTTGTTGTTCCTGCAAGCTTGAGTGGCGTGAGGTGCTGACATTGGTCCAGGTTCATCTAGGGGGGGCAAGTTTGAGCACCTCAGTGCGTGCTTGCTCGCCCCTGTCCTTCCTCAGGATATTGGCATGGTGCAGCTTCACATACAGGTTTTCTCCCTTTCGGCTGCACTGATTGCGGAGGACTTGCGCGCTCATGGCCTGTTGGCTTCGGTCTTGTGGTTCTTTTCCTTCATGAAGCTGTTCTCTGATTGACTTAAGAAGGATGTGGAAGTGCTTAGAGCTGTTCCTGGGGTCCGGTGCCATGGTTTCGGCAGCATGTGCGTCGTCTGCTCTGTTTAAGCTGTTCGCACCGATCCTTGAGGTTATCTTGAGATGATTTCGGGGCTTTTTCTAGTGTCCCCGCGGCCCGGTCCTCGACCAGGCCTCCACCCCCAGGAAGCAGCCCGTGACAGCTGACTAACTCCCAGGTACCTATTTACTGCTAGGTAACAGGGGCATTTAGGGTGAAAGAAACTTTGCCCATTTGTTTCTGCCTCGTGCGGAAATCAAACCCGCGCCACAGAATTACGAGTCCTGCGCGCTATCCACCAGGCTACGAGGCCCCTTGCGGGATCCTGCGGGATGCAGAGTCTTTCTTTTTTTGCTTTGCATCTCGCGTGTCAGCAGGTAGTGGTCACTTCCTCTTTGGAATCTGTTTGGGCCCTGGCTCTTAGGTTTTCTTCACCTTTTTGTCCCCTTGCTGTTTGCAGAATCTGCGGTTGGGCAGTATATGCAGGCAGCTTCTTCGAGTTGCCGTCCTATGTCGGACTTGTTGCTCCTCCAAGGGAGGGGGGGGGGCGGGGTATGGGAGTTCTTCCTGGAGAGGTTGTGCCAGGGCTTGTGGTTTCTCCCATCATGGTAGGCCGGCGGTGCCAGTTTTGGAGCCGGCGCCACCTTTTGACCCCGTCTTCGTCTGGTTGGCGCGGTGATTGCTCTGTGTGTAAGTCGGGTTCTTGCAAGGGGCCTCTGCACTTTCTCAGTTCTTCCCATTGATGGGGCGATGGGGGAAGGCTCATGCTGTTTGCTCAGTCCCGAAATGGGTCCGAGCAGACCTGAGGTTCATTCTGGACTGGTCCCGTCTGAGCCCCTGGGTCTATTGCCACTCCTGTCAGATGACTACTGTCGCTGGTCCTGTTTCTCATGGAGCTGGGCGCTTGGATGGTGTCCCTGGACCTTTGGGACGCGTATTGGCACGTTCCGATTCATCCTGGGCTCAGGGACTGGCTTGGATTTGTGTGGCATCTGTTACCACTTTCATTGCCTTCTATTCGTTTTGAAGCTGGCACCTTGTGTGTTGACATGCCTTACCCGGGTCATAGTGGGCCTTCTGCATCTGTTAGGGGTTCGGGTGCTGGTCTACCTTGACGACTGGCTGGTGTGGGCTCCCAGCCAGTTTGCGTGTCTGCTCACCAGGGATTTGGTTCTTTTCCGGCTAGCCGGGTTTGTGTTTCTGGTAAACTGGAGGAAGTCCCATCTGGTTCTCTGTCAGGTTCGGACTTGGTTGTGCCTTGTGTGGGACTCTTGGACCCCTTCCCTGTGTGTCCCTCCGGAGGCTCTGCTTTGGCTGCAGTCCTGCCTTCGCCTGTTTCTGGAGGGCTCCTGGGTTACTTGGTGGCTGCTCGAGGGTTTGTGAGGGATCCCTTCCATGCCTCTCGCGATCACTGGGTTCGGCCTCCGAGGGCCTTGCGTCGGTTGCTGCATCATTGGCTTCCTCTTCAGGTTTTTTGTGGTTCAGTGCCTTGGCGCCTACCCGAGTCTCTCACTCGATGTGTTCACAGGCACTTTGTCTCTCGGCTGGGGCTTTGTGACCAGTATTCACTAGGCTGGCCAGGGGAGGTGGGATTTGTTCTACCGTCAGGCCCACAGCATGGTGCGGGAGTTTGCAGTGATGTGGATGTCTCTTCGGAGGGTTCGAATCGACGATCAGGCTCCATTTGAACTGCTCCCCGGTGGTTCATTGCTTGAACTGTGGGGGTTCAATGCGGTCCTTGGCTCTTTGGGGCTGGTCGCTTTGAGTGACTTGTCTGCTGAGTTATCGGGGTTTGGTTCTCCTGGCGGTTCACGTTTGAGGGGTGTCCAACGTCCTGGTGGACAGCCTGTCTTGGTTCATTCCCCTGTCCATGGAATGGACAGTTGAAGCAGACTTGTTCAGTTGGCTCTGCCGGACGTATGGGCTCCTGAAGGTGGACCTCTTCACGTCGGCGTGGTCGAGGCATTTCCCGATATATGTGGTGCCCTTCCCACGACTGCGGGGCCGTCAGTCGGGGTCGATGCCTTTCGGCAGGACTAATCGAGGTGGGGTTTCCTGTACCACTTTCCCTTAGTTCATCTGTTGCTCTAGGTCCTAGCTCGCTTGGAAACTTACCAGGGAAGAGTAGTCCTCTTGGCTCCTTGGTGGCCGGCCCAGCCTTGGTTTCAGGCGCTGCTTGCTCGGTGTCCGAACCTAGGGGTTTTCCCGTGGCTCTGCCTCTTTTAGCAGATCCGTTACATGGCTGGTTCGATCGTCTCCTTGAGTCTTTGCGTCTGGTCTTTTTTACTAGAGTATCACTACTTGTATGGTGGCTTTGTTAATTGTCCCACTTTTGTGCCTCATCTCGGTGACAGTATGAA